AGATTCTCTTAGGATCCCTTTGGTCAGCCTCGTGATCCACCAGGTCCCCCAAGAGGTTTGGCCCCCAGCAGCCGCACCTGCCCAGTTCCTGGGCCTCTGCGGAGGCCAGCCGCTCCCTCCTCATCCACCTGCATCTGTAGGTAGTCTGAGGAGGAAGCAGGGAGAAAATCACCACTCCCTGTTTCAGGGCAGGTCAGACTGGTGTGATTTATGCTCCAGAGCCCTGCACCCCTGGGATCAGGTGGAAGCTGGACATCATCTGCCACAGCCTCTCTCAGCATCGTTCCTCCACCCCCCCCCCTTTCCGTCACCCTCATTTGACCACAGCCTCCAAAACCCGCCTTATCTCATAGGTGCCCTATCTCTGGCTCACCTGGGCCGCACTGAATGGAAGATTGTCTTGGGCCACACATAACATGTAATATAGTTAATGTATATAAGCAATAACATTTCATTGATTTTTAATATTTTAATTTATTTTACAAACTAACACAGCAAGCCCAAGTTTAATGATTAAATAAGAAACTTTACGTGTCTGCTTAATAACAAGAAACGCCTGTCTTCGCAAGTGCACACGCGTGTCAGCAGGGTCAGCTACTGCTGTCAGTAACCGCTGCACTTCCCTCACCCAGCCGCTGTCCGATACACCTGGGTTCCCCTTACACGGATTGGTTAGCACGGCACCGCGCACTCTGTGATCCCCTCTAGTCTGCGCTCAAGCCCTGCACGATCAAATCATAAAAAATAACTCTAAAAATCACTCAGTAATCTTCAAAGTTTACAATCTGGTGGGGCCGTGTTATGAGCTGTCCAGGGCCACATGTACCCCTTGGGTGGCCGGTTGGATTGCTCCCGCCCCACTTGAAGCCCCCACTCAGACTGGACATCCAGGGCCATCTCCAGGGCTGGAGGCATGGGATAGATCACTAGTGTATTCCCTTCCATAGCCTTTTGATTTTCCTAAAATGACTCCTATTTTAAGCGTTCTTTTTATTATAAAAATTATACATGCTATGGCTACAAATTCAAATAGTGTCAAAGCGTATGAAGTAAAATGTAAAAGATTTTTAAGCCCCACCCTAAAGGCCAGCCTTAGTCTCCAAAAAGCAGTGTTTTTTAGCATCGTTCCAGAACATGTCTATGTATACTTAACCATATATATGTGCTTTCTACAATAATATTAATGTTTTGCTTATATCCAAATACTCATATATTATAAAATGCTTTTTCCTACTTCCTATACTCTCAGTACAAGACATCTCCCTCCAACATGGCCAATATTTGTTTAAAGAGGCATGATTTCTGTGACTGGCATGGTCTATCATGTCTGCAAACCAAAATGGGAAAACTAGTAGTGGAGAATTTTATTTTGGCACATGAATAGAATAGTCTGAGAAACTGTTTTCATTTTGCCCTTTGTTAATCTTTAAACCGGAATGCCTGAGGAGGGCTGTCATGGAACCTTTTGGATTAAGGCATGTGACTTGTCTGAGGGAGCCTCAGTATCTCCAACAATAGGGACAGAGTTCACGAGAGAAGAAATTGATGAGGTTCTATGTTATTCTTTATAGTACTCAAGAATGTATCAGCACAGAATCACATCAACGAAACTATCAAAAAGGAAAGTCAGCAAAAACATAGGCTAAAGGATCAAACTATCCTTTCAAAAGCATGTGAGTGAATGTGTATGTCTAACTAAGATATACTCAGATATAACAAGACATTCCTGAATGTATTTTAAGATATGTAACAAAAATAAAAATGTATCACAGTGAGATAGCAGCTCACACCCATTGAGATGGCTATTTTTTTTAAAGCCTGAAAGGATGTGGAGAAATTGAAACCTGTGTGTTGTTGCTGGGCATGTACAATGGGATAGGCACTATGGGAAACTCTCTGAAGGCTCTTTAATAAATGAAAAATAGAATTTCCCTATGACCAGCAATCCTACTTCAAGGCATATACCCCTAAGAATGGAAAGTAGGTCCTTTTTGAGACAGGATCTCACTACGTAGTCTAGGCTGACCTTGAAATCATTATTTAGCGAAATAAAGGACAGGACATGGCTGTGGAAGTTTTTGGTCCCATAGAAACTACTAAAGGAAGAAACCAAGAAGTCACCATGGGTCACATCCTCTGTCCTTAGAGAAAAGAGGTTAAGTATGTGACATCTGGACCCAAGGCTGAAATCCTGACTCTGCTCCTTTCTAAATTCCTGTGATCTCAGACACACCCCTCTATTCCTGTGCCTCATTGTTTATAAGGAGCTTGGAACGGTGCTTGGCCCCTAGTATGTTAAATAATGGAAACTGTCATGTATTTTGCCTTCACACCTACACAGTGGGGACTGTCCAGTTGTACTCCCACACAGAGAGGAAAGTAAGCTCAGGGAAGCAGACGGTCTCTTCTGAAGAGATGTCAGAGCTGAACTCAGGTCTCCTGACCCTCGATCTCAATTTTCAACACCTTCGGCCTATCTTACCACCACGTATCCAGGCCCTGCAGGATAACAGGCTGGTGGAGGAAAGGGAAAGCTCTACATAGTTTTTATCTGAATAAATAATTCATGCAAATGGTACAAAAAACGTAGATAGAAAAGACTATTCAGTGTAAAATGAGTCTGTTTCCCACCTCAGCTCCCTAGTGCTAAAGTTCCTGCTACAAGCCTGCACAGTGATGCGCTTTGTGTGAAAGAAAACCCTCAAGTGACCTGTCCTTTAGGATGCAGGTTTGGAAAGGCAGCAGCCAACCCTCAGATGTGCCTGTCTGTAAAAGCCGATGGACACAAGGGCACAGGGAGCAACTGGAGAGGCTTTTCCAGATGGTGACTCTGTGAGTGACTAAGCAGCAGCAGGAGGAGGGTGGCTGGGTATCCACCCTGCACATCTCCCTCCTCCGCTGCTTCTCTCCTCCGTTGGTGAGAACTCCAGAACATAATCACCTTGTATTTCTTATATAAGACGTGTTATTGAGGCTGCGTGTCTGTGTTCCCACCCACCCCTTCGTGTCATTAGCAAAAGCTCAGTGCCAGTCCCTCAATCCACGCCCAGGTCCCAACCCACTATACTGGTAGGGTCAGGACATGTGCATGGTCTACATTGAGAAAAAAACAAGAATCAGCACCAAAGACCGTCTTATCCACCCCCTGCCTCACCCTTTTTGTTCCTTTCCCTGCACTTTCATTTCTATTCTCCATTCCCAATTGCGTATTACACATATAGTGAATGGTGCTAGGCTTTTTATGCACTCATGATTTATGGTTATTCATCACATTAACTAAGTGGCTTTGCCAGGTAAAATATTGAGGCACCACTGCCATTATGACCTTGCCTTACATGATCTCATTGGCAGCTCGTGTTGCCATGACAACTTGGCTAGAGAAACTGGTACTGAGCATCAGTGAAAGGCAATATGAACACTTGTAAATGTGTACAAAAGGATGCAGACTTCCCGTCACACGTAGCTGTCATGCAGGAAGCTATGGATTTCTCAGTCCACACCCGCTTCTGCTCCCACATTTGTCAAGATTAGCTAAATATTTAACATTTCCGCCACTGATGGAACATTTACGGTGCTGTAAGTGTAAGAGAAAGGAATGAGAAGAAAACTTGAGAGCAACAGACATTCCTGATCACCCCCTACGAAACTCAGCTCTTTATAATGAATGCTTTTAATCACCCAACAACCCCACGAAGTGAGTGTATTAACTCCCATTTTACCAATAAAAAAAAAAAAAAAACCTAAGATTGAGTGTAGCATGGTTAATTGAAAGAGCTAGAGCCTCCCTCCCATTACTTTGAGGGGCTGTGTTGCTCCCTAAGGATCTTGTGGTTCAAAATTATTTCTCACTCGCTGAGTCAAAAACATATTTCCTGAAGTGGTCAGAGAGACCTGTAGCAGAATGACATTTTTTCCACTGATGACACAGAGCAAAGTGTATAGAGCACAGTGCATGACTCTAGAGATCTAAAATATTCTCCTAACCAAACCAGGCAGGCACTGAAAGTCACACCAAGCCGGATGATTTTGCAAACTGCCACTTATTTAAAAATCCTTTCATCACTCTGTCAGAAATAAGAACAATGCTCTGGAACTTCAGGGCCCTCTACAGAAGGTCATGCTGTTAGAGGAAGTTTATTTCAAGTTATTATGAAATAAAAACATGACCACCGGTGAGTAGGGGTGGGAATGATCTGGTGTCCTAGGTACTGAGACCAGTAAAGCAATTGGCCTCGGCACATCTTATGTAAGAGCGCTCAGTCTCTAGGCAAGTTAGGTAACCCTGTACAGAGTAAACAGAGCGACAGGCAGCCAGACCCGTCTCTCACAACGAGGAGGTCAGATGTGGACAGGGGTGTATGAGTCCTGCCTAACAGGGCACGGAACAGGGTCTGAACTTGTCTGAGATCAGGGCTGAGGCCGCAAGCATCCTCTTACCTGCGCTGCAGGCTTATTTTGATTTCGATGAACTGAGGCTGATAAAGATTTGGGAGATTGGGGACCCTCCGTGGCACTGCATGAAGTTTACACAATTACTGGCAAAAGCCTGGAGTTTGGAGACATAACACCTCTCAGGTGGGGGACCCAACCCTGCCACTGGGCAGCTGTGTTTCTGTGAGCTCGCTACCAACCTACTCTGCACCTGACATGCACTAAAAGAGGGCAGTTGTCCCTGAACACATACAGAAATTTATAAATTGCTAGTTATGATAAAGCTCATTCGGCGGAGAAATCCACATGATGTTCTAGACAATCAAATTCTAGAAGACGCGTTTCAGAATCATCTTCCATCTTGGCCTTACCCTGCAAGGCCGAGCTTGCAGTTATTGTATTCCCCAAACACCTTTTGAACCCCGCGATGCCTCAGCGGACCTGGGGTCAGGCCCAGCCACAGAGCCACGCCGGGCCTCCGCTCCTCCGTCCGCCCAGCAGGGGTAAGCCCGGACGCCGCGGCGCTTACATAACGCGATGACGTCACCGCGGGCGGCTCCGTGCGGCGGGGGCGCGGAGAGGGCCCCGCGCACGGCGCGCGCCCAGGCACGTTTCTCCATCTCAGCCTCGCGAGCTCGCCAGAGACCGCGCGAATACACCGAGCCCGGCGACCGAGGTTCCCGCGGGGCTGCGCGGCGGACTGCGTGGGCGGGGCCGCGGAGGTCACGTGGTCAGTCCCTCCCTCTTCCCCCCCGCCCCGGCGCGCTGGGCAGGACGCGCCCGCCACTCCGGGTGTCTCCCTGTTCAAGCCGTCTCGAGCGGGCGTGGCCAGCGACCTAGCAGCCAGAGGGTGGGCCTATTCGCTCCGGGCCGGGCCGTCGGGAGGGCTGAGCTAACAGGCGTCCGAGCCGGCGGGACTCGAGCCTGGAGGCGGAGCTGGCCCCGAAGGGGCGGGGCTAGAGCGTCGGCGCGGGGCGGGATGCGAGGAAACGGCTCGCATCTGGGGGCGGGGCCAGCGCGGAGGGGCGGGGCTCCGGCGCTGGCGGTCGGACTCACTTCTAGTTGTAACCCTGGTCGTAGGGTTCCTGGCTGCGTCAGACAGGGCTGGTTCTACATCGTTAGCCTAGACTCATCTCTGTACTTTCCCAGATGTATTTTTGTTTATTCTCTAAAAAGATGGGACGTGTGGACTGCAACAGTTCGCTTGAGCGTGGGCTTCAGGGCGGTGCGGGTTGTGCGCTGCGCCAGGTCCCCCGTCGGTGGTGCTGACGGCTCCCGCGGCGATCGCGCGGGGCCTCGTCGCCTCGGTCACCTTGCGTCCTCGAGGTGCGACAGCGGGCTCGCCAGTGGTTCTCAACACTGCTGCACGTCAGAGGCGTTGGCGGAGAAATTTTGTTTTGTTTCCGTGTGTACTTTCTGTCATCATGGTCTTTGCCTCAAGATGCTTAGCAATGACTGCATATTTTTAAAAAGCAATTTATATGAAATGTCTTTCTCCACTTTAATTTTACATTACTCTGCGAAGAAAAAAAACTCAAGCTGCTTTTAATACCAGACACACTTTCATGATTAACCAGCTAGGTAAAAGTTGGTGACTTTATTTTTCCTGCTGTGTAAAACAGATCTAGGCCTACAAAGATGGGACCAAGTAATAATTGTTTTTGAAAAGTGTGCTGCAAAAATGGATTGTGTGTTGTGAGCCATGTTTAAAATAACAGTTTTGGGCACCACCCCTTGAGATTGCGATGCAGCGACCCTGTACTGGACCTACGCTGGCATTTTATAAAAATCTTCCCCTGATTTTCATCTCTGAGAGACTTCCTGTCCTCCCTGCACCAGGGTTTATCACCTTCCATCATAGCAGGAAATGACGTGGAATTCCTTCATCCACCGGGTTTTGGAGAAAGTTCAGCCCTTTCTCAGGCCCATTGCTAAAGAGAATGGTGGGAAAAGTAGCCGTCAGCTCTGTTTCCCAGGTGACCCCTTAGCCCTGTCCCAATGAATTCAGACGAATAAATTGGCTGCCAGTCTCTTTCAAAGGGGGTGTCCTCTGGCAGTAGCCACTATTTACTGGACCTTTCCAAGTCACACAGAATGCTGCATGAATGCCAGCTGGTGTCTAACCTTTGGCTGGTCCCAGGAAACAAGCTTGTAAAAATCTCTCCCAGCTGAATATGGTCAAGCTCACTTGTCCCAGCACTCTGGGAGGCTGAGGCAGGAGGACAGAAAGTTTGAGCCCAACCTGAACCACTTGGTGACTTAGTGAGACCCTGTCTCAGAATTTAAAAGAATGAAAACAGGGCTATGAATGTAGCTCAGTGGGTTCAATTCAAAGTACTGGAGAAGAAAAGAATTGCTGCCTTGCTCTTAGACAGGGGCATTCCTGATTTTCCCTCCTTGAGGGAAAGTAGAAGTCAGGCTGAGGGCCCAAGGGTGGTTAGGGGAAATGAAATTTAGGTTTCCCTGCTGCTGTGCCTTTAATGAATTGAAGGGAAAGGTAATAACTAGTTTTGCTTTCAATGTGAGACATTGTAGTTAAGATTTACAATGTTTTCCTTGGCACCCCAGGCTATTTATAAAGCCTTCGTGTGTTGACCCCCTGGGCAGCAGGACCTGGTCACAGTCTCCTAAACCTGCCCTACACAATCATTCCCTGGGTAATTTATTTTTATTTTGCTTTTATTTTATGATGCTGGGGACTGAACCCAGGGCCTTCACCCTGAGCCACATTGTTAGATCCCTGCCCCCTTTTGTGAGACAGGAGCTTGCTAAGTTTCCTAGGCTGGGCTTGGGTTCAGGAAACACTACAGGTAAGGGTTCTCCCAGCTTTCACTTGGAATGTGAAGCCAGACTGCCGGACCACCCCAAGGTGCTGGCCTCAGAAATATACAGAAGGCTTTTCCAACCCGTTTCCAGGAGGGTCTGGTTTTGCTGGCACCTGTGGGTGTTGAATGAGTGGAAACCCTGCTTTGGCTTTATCACCTGTCATTGTTTGAATTTAGGCAAGTCATTTACTGAGACATAGAGACAGCTATCGAGTTTGTGAAAGCAAAATACTTTCCCCTCCAAAGGGGTGAGAAGATACATAAAATCCAAGACTTAATATTAACAACAGATTGAACCAGGATGGAATCCCAGCGTAGAAGGCAAAAATCCAAGGCAGAGGACAGAGGGCAAGCAGGACACGTCCTACAAGGCAGCCCAGCCCTGCTGCTTGGCTGTGCTCCCAGCGTGGAGTTGGAGGAAGAGGTTTAATCCACAGGAGCCATCCTCAGCAAACAGTCTCTAAATCAGATAAACATGGGAGCCCAGAGGCTAATGCTGTCTCTGGCTGGTGTCACAAAGAAAAGCTTTCAGTTTCCTGTCTCCAGCAAGAGTGTTCTTCCAGCCAGTTTCCAGAATATTCCCTGCTTGTTTTCTGGCACTGCTGTAGCATAGGAGACTTACTCATTGCCCACAGTGCCTTCTCCTGACCAGACCCCTATTCATTGATTCAGAGCCCTCACTAGAAAATGCTGTCACAGAGATTCCGGAACTCACTTCCACCCTCAGGGGAAAACAAATCTTCCTGCCTTATCTTTGTTTATAATTTAAAATGCTCTCTAGCTGGGCAGTGTGGCACACACCTGTATTCCCAACTACTAGGGAGGCTGAGGCAGGAGGATTGAATGAGCTCAGCAGTTTGAGACTAGCCTGGGCAACTTCATAAGACTCTGTCTATTAAAAAAAAAAAAATAATCCTGGCTTGGTGGTGCATACCTGTAAACCCAGCCCTTGGGAGGCTGAGACAGGAGGATTGTCGCGAGTTAAAGGCCAGCCTGGGGTTCACAAGGTAACCCTGGATTTCATACCAAGAGCCTGTCTCAAAAAAACTGAAATAGAAAAGAAAGGGGGGCAACTGAGCTAAATTTTGGACATGGAAATTATTTTTTTTTAACAATGACTGGTATTTATTATGCTCTTAATATGTTCTGAGTGTTGCTAAGTGCCTTACACATATGATCTCATTTAGACCTCCCAAGAGATAGCTCTTCGTATCTGCTTTCTGCAAATAAAGAGATGAGTTAAGAAAGGTTAAGTCAACACACAGCACTGCATAGCTGTTAGGAGGTAGAACTTCAGTTTAAACCCAGGATTCTGCCTGTAATCCCAGTACTCAGGAGGCTGAGGCAGGAGGATTGTTGCAAGTTTGAGACCAGCCTGGGCTACATAGTGAGCTCAAGGCTAGTCTGAACGGCATAGTGAGAACCTGTCTCAGAAAAAAGGTCAAAAAATAAAAAATAAATAAATAAAAAATAAACCCAGGATTTTCAGTCCAAGGGTTTGGTATTGATACTATTTTCAGTTTCAAGTCAAACTTTCGTGCAGTCTTTAAGAACCCTTGTTTGGCCCACTAACTGGGTCCCTCATGGAATAGCAGCGGAGTAGGGCAGTGCCTAAGCTGTCCCAGATGTTCAGGAGAACTGCTGATGGTACAAACGGGAATATTCCTCATGTTCTCCTAAGCCGGCCTTGACTGAGGCAAGATGCGATGCCTGCCCTGTGGCAGTGACTTCCAAACCGAACCCGAGCTCATAAATATTGTTTGGCCTTTTCCTGGAGTGTCCAGGGCACATAGCTGGCAGCAGGCCAGCTGCTGGCAGTGTGTGTACACAGGGAGGGCCCTAGGCCTCTTGTGGAACCTTCAGCTCAAGAATTCTGCTCTGTATTGCAAGGAAAACTCACTGGGCTCTTGGCAAGAGAAGCAGGCCCTGAGACCCGCCTGCCTGTGGGAAAAGGTTGGCCCTCGAGGCCGCCTGCTGTGTTCCCCACTTCTGTTTCCCCTGCCCTGAGCTCTTTCCTGGAAATACTGGAAAGTAAAGGTATAGGAGCTGTCTGTAAAGAAAGAAAGAGAAATAGCTAGGGAGCCCGGGATTGTGCCTATCTATATATGACGCCTGTATGCAAATTAGAGAAAGCCTTTCTTATTTTGCTTTGCTGTCATCTGCCAGAAAATTGTCATAATGCGGATACAAATCCAGCTACTGTGATCCAAACGGCATCCCTCAACTTGTGCTATTCGCACCCTGCAGCCCCGAAGGAGCCTTGGCTTCTTCCCAAGCTGATGAGGCAGAACTCAATCCCTAGCTTCCTGCTTTTTCACTCCCTGGTAGCAAACCTCCCTCTTTCCCCCAAGTTAGAGAGATACCTGCCGTGAAGTGAAATAAGCATGACATTAATGGTCTCCTAAGCTTTTTTCCCAAATGGTCAGAAGCTATCCATCTGTTGAGGGTTCTTTTTTCTTTTTTCTTTTTTTTTTTTTGTTTAATGTGTGTGACACTTCCAAGGATCAGAGGCAGTCAGAGAAAGATAGTTGGAATGCAGTGTAGTGGTGCATGCCTATAATCCCAGTGCTCTGGGAGGCTGAGGCAAGAGGATCACAAGTTTGAGCTCAGCTTGGGCAACATAGTGACTTAGTGAGACCCTGTCTCAAAATAATTTTTTTAAAACAAGGGCTGGGGATGTAGCTCCGTATGAAGGCCTGGGTTCAGGCTCCAGTAGACACACAAGAACAACAAAAAAGATAATTGGGATGTCAAATCATTGGAATCCCCAAATAGTTTCAAACAGTTGGGAAGACAAGGACATGTAGGCTCTGAAAAGATGGCAATGTTCATTCCTTCGTGAGGGCAGGAGGGAAGCCCAACAGTTGAGGAGGCCAGGGAAGGCAGGAGTGCTGAGTGTGTGGTAGGAGGACAGCTCTGCCGGGGCGGAGAGTGATGACCCAACCCAGAATTATGCTTTTTCCTGCAGGGCTGTGCTCTGGACTCCAGTGCTGTTCTTTCCGTGGGTCTGTGTATCCAGAAGTGGCTGTGAATCTGCACCTAAGGACTTGTCCTTACTGTCCCGGAGGTCCAAGTTCTCTAAGAGCCTTCTGGGTCACCGCAGGGACCAGTGGCGCTGGAAAAGTGCCTGCTGCTGAAATAGCCAGGCAAGGTAAGCAGCTTGCAGGTGGCCCCCATGAGAAGAGCTGGGTGAGCAGGTACTGGACAGTGCTCCCGTGGAAATGGGCACAACTGCTTGTTTTCTGAGCTTCCCCCTGACCTAAAATCCCTGTTAACCCAGGGGAGCTGGCACCTGCCACGTGTCGCAGTGTTTTCTGAATAAACACAGCAAAGAACTCAAAAAAAACCTGGCAATGAGAATCATGAATGGAGCTTTAAAAACAAACCCAAAAGCCCTAGAAGGATATTGGGGTAGGGGCTAGAAGTCCACTGCAATTTGGATGTGGGCCCCCTAGAGAAGAAGCAGTGCCTCCCTGAATATCTGGAGAGGGAAGTGCAGGGAACACCCCCTTCCCGGTGTTCAGGCCTAACCTGGGCAGTAAAGGAGCCTCTGGGATCACCGAGTGGCAGAAGTCTCCATGCTGGATTTCCTGCATGAACTTGCTGTCCTGGGTCACCGAGCAGTGGTGTGCGTGCTGGAAAAGTTCTCCGCATCTGTCCAAGCCTGTTCTCCATGAAAAACTGAGGTTCCTGCAGAAGTTGTGGAAATAAATTGGGAAACGATCTCCTCTCAAGAAGCTGAAGATGTTCCTTTATTTTCATCCTCTCTAGATCCGAAGTAAGCATTTTCCAGGAGAATGTTATACCATTCAGAGCTTTACTTAATTATCTGCCAAGTTCAGGAAAGGATTAACTGCATCTTAGCAACTGGGAATCGCGCTGGGGGTTGTGCGGAGGTGGGACAAAGGCCGGTTTCATGGCCAGCCTGGAGCCTCCTGTGAAACAGGCTTGCTCCCAAAGTGGGCGTTGAAGAAGGTGGAGATAATGGACTCCGTAAGGTGGATGCTTCATGGCCAGTGCCAAGGTAGCTCCCTGTAGGTAAACTTGAGTGAGGGTAGAATGGCATTTGCTAGAATAATATGAGGGCCATTTCTGCATTCAGTATTCAGTAACTCTTTCTTGAGTCCCTGCTACATGCTAGTCCCGTGGTTCTACATGAGATCATTGGGAGCCTGGATCCAGCATCTGGATGGTTAAAAACTCCTTCAGGCGAATCTTAAATCCAGCCAGGGTTGTGCCCCTGGGTCAGGTGTGACCCCAGGTGATGCAGATGTGGTCAAGACTGACATTCTTACCTTTGATACATTCAGACCCTTAACAAAATCAGGGCATGCCGGCTTCACTGTCAGTCAACCCAGGTAGGCAGGAGAGAAGGTTCCAGTGTCACTTCACTATTATCCTTACCACGCTAACTGTGGGATCATGCAGCTAGATTTTCCAGAATAGCGTCAACCTCAAGGATCCTTTTTATGGTTACACGTCTTCACCTTTCACTCAGAAAAGCTCGTTTCCTTAGGTATGCTGTAACGCACAGGTGGTTTCATTGAATTCCACCAGGTGGCACAGTTCACTTGGTTTGTGATCCAGAACAGGCAGAGGGTGTCCACGGTGAGATCATCAGGAGAGTTGTAGCCAGGTGAGCTTCTCTTCGCTCCCTTCCTGGGGCTTCTTGCCTCTGTGATCAGCTTTCGGGAGACTGAACAGCTCCCTGCCTTCTCTGGCCTGACAGCGGCCTGTGTTTGTGCTTCTGCTCTGGAGCCACACTCTTGAGCAGCTGGCTTTCACCAGGGATAAGTAGGGCCCTGAGGTCTGACCCTGTGGCCCTCAGCTGCTGGAGAAGCCAGCAGGAAGATACTGATCCTTGCCGTAGGGACAGCAGATCGGACAGTGGTCCTGTCAGGTTTTCTATCCCAGAGGGAGCCCATGTCAGTGAGACACATCCAGGCCGACTCAGGTGCCACTGAGCTGAGTCCAGCGTCCTTCCAGTGAAGAGGAGAAACTGAGCGCATTTTGGTCTGATGAAAGCCCTTTCTAGCAAGATCTTTTGGGCCTGGCCATAACTCGTGGTTTTCCTCTACAGGGAGAAGCAGATCCAGGACTGGAAGCAGGAATTACAGGGCTCAGTGCAAAATCAAAACGCGAGACCCTGTGTAAAACTTAAGGCTTTCCAGACAGTGAAGGCAGAGCGTTAAACTAAGCCCTTCTGAGTGCGGGGCCTGGGCAGCAGTATGGACCATGTGCCCACAAGGCTGTCCCCACTGTCCCCACTGTCAGGTGGAGAGGAGTCACCACAGCACATTCACTGTCACTCAAGAGCATTATCGTTCAGTTCCCAGCCTGTGAGCCTCCTTCTCCAGCAGATCCCGCCAGGGGAGCCCCTGGGAGGAGAGCAGGGGGCAGCGCAGACAACATCTGCCCCGGCTTAGATCAAGGCCGAAGATAAAGCTGCCTCCATCTCCAGTGGAATCTTTTGCATTTGCATCAGTTCCTGAAGATGGTTGTGACTGTTTTTATAAATAGCACGCTTAGAGCCAGTGACTGTTCCATCGCTCTTCTCACAGGAGTCCCTAGTCTCAGGCCATTGGGTGCCTCACAGAGGCTTGGTGCTGGCAGTGAGGAGCGGCACGGGGGTCTCTAACTCTTCCTCTCTGTCTGCCTGTGCCGCTGTGACCCGCTGCTGCTGGTCTGGAGACTGAAAGCTGCCTGCTTCCTGCTGATAACTTGCAGTTGAGCTGCCTGGATGCAGTACAACAAGAATACTGACCTCAGGCTGTGGGCGTGTTGGCCACAATTTTTTAAAAGTGGCTTTATGTAGAAAATGATGTTTGCATGGTTGTGTTTATATCAAGCCATCCTTATGTCCAGTTGCACCATTTCTGGAAGGGATATCGAGCTGAAAAGGGGATCAGACCTATTTCCTAAGGTTGGGAGAGAGAGCAAGCCCTCTGACTGCTCCCCTCCTGTGCACACAGACCGGGAAATCACACCCCCCTGTGTTGGTGAGTAGCCTCAGCACTCAGAGCTCAGAGTCCAGGGTAAAGAGTTCCTGATAAGTTATACTTTTTTTTTTTTTTTTTTTCTGATTTGTTATACCCATGCATGTGGCTTCCCTGAGTCAGTGTCTCCTCTGGCTCTGCCAGAGATCCACTGTTCCTCCTGTTGCTCCCTTCCACAGCGTTGTTTGCTCTGCATACAGGCAGGGTGGTGCATACCTGTAATCCCTGCACTGGGAGGTTGAGACAGGAGGTTCTCAAATTCTAGCCTAACCTAGACAGCTTACTGAGACTCTGTCTCAAAATTTTAAAACAATATTTTTTAAAGGGCTGGGGATGTTGCTCAGTTAGTAGGCTCTTGGCTCCAACTCTATTGCCTCTTTCCCAAGGGGGGAAAAAAATCATGGTGCCCAGGCAGGCTCTGATTTTGTCCTGCATAGCAAGCAAGACTATCGTCACTCAGATCCTTGTGCACTGGGGCAATGCTTTTAGCTTCCCTGAAAGACAGGGGTTAAAAGCGTTCTTCAGTTTTAACATATATTTGAATGTAAACCATATGCCAGGCAGTGTGCTTGGAGCTGGAGACATAGAGACGACAGAGACAGACACAGACTGTCGCAGTCATGTGCAGTATACAGTGATTAACCAGCAATTTCTTGGAAGCATGTGTGCCTGCCCTGGGCCTTCTGTTCTGCTCGGTATCACAGCAAGGGTGGGCTGGGGGTCGGACAGTATGTTTTACCAGCCCTGATACCAGCCATGTCTAGCAGGTACAAGAGGAAGATTTGTGGGTGGGAGGATCTCCTCTATGGTTTTTACTTCCTGTTCCTGGGCTCAAGTCACACTACATTCTCTCTTTGTTCCTTGAATGTGAGCTGGTAGATGCTTCCTGTTATTACTAATCTCTGGGTTACTTCATCAGTCCTCTCCTTTTCCTTTCCCACTGGGAACACCAATCCCTGCATTTAGTTCCCTCTGTTGAAAGTGGTTTCTGTTGCATCCTGATTGAGATAACGTGATAAATGCTACAACATGAGAAGTTGAAGCAAAGCATCCTAGGAACATATGGCTGTCACTCAGTAGCAGTAGTTATCATTACAGCAAGTCGAGTATCCAGAACGCTTACACCAGAAATGTTTTGGGTTTCAGATATTTTTAAAATTTTGTAATATTTTCATATACATAATGAAATATCTTGGGAGTGGGTCACAAACCAGAATTCATTTATGTTTCCTATAGCTCGAGAGACATTTTATACAATATTTTAACATGCTTCTGCTGGCTTCAACACCAGTGGTACATGCATGACTATCCTGTTTGGCAGTTTGTACCACTGGTGTTACAGGTAGGACTGTCCTGTGCTCAAAAAGTTTCAGTTTTTGGAGCATTTTAGATTTTTGGATTAGGGCTTCGCAAGCTGTATTATTGATATCATTGTTCACACTAATATTATTACTATCCACAACCTTACACTCTTGGCATCAAGTTCCCTAGTTCTCTTCATTTGTTCCTTCCACCCTGCTGTGTGGGAGTTGGAAGCCTTTGAGTTCCCAGGAGCAGAAGGGGTGTGTGGCAGAGCAGTGAGGGACTAAAGGGCAGGCCCTGTCCTTGACTGAGCGGACATCAAGGGTGGAGGTCCTTTGGGTGATGGTATACAGCAGGCAAGGTGAGTCAGGTGAGCATAGGGAAACAGGGCCTTAGGGAAGACTTTAAGCCATGGGGGAATCAGACCTTCTGGTACACACTGGCTTAATAAATCAGATGTGTGAATGTATGCAGCGTTCAATGCCATTCCAGGGTGACCTTTGCAGTGTGATGCATATGGCCGCAAGCTTGGGGGAAGGACTGCCTGTTGTCACAGAACAAACGCCCTGCTCACTGTCCACTTGGCACAGTGCTCCCAAGGAGCCTGTGTGGAAAGCCAGGCAGACCCTGCTTCAGCTTCATTATCATCTTGCTGTCTGGATAGAAGGACACCAGACTTCTGTTAGGCAGTTACCTCCATGGCAGCATTATTTTAAGTAGAAGTTTAATTTATTTTAGAAGAGTTTTAGATGCACAGAGAGATTGGGACAGTAGTACAAAGAGTTCCCATTTGCCCCACAGCCAGTTTTTCCTTTGTTAGCATCTTTCATTACTATGGTTCCTTTGTCACAGCTAATGAACCAGTACTGATACAATATTACTAACTAAACTCTATACTTTATTCAGATTTTCTCAACTTTCCCCTAATGTTCTGTCTCTTTTCCTGAATCCCACTCAGAACTCTATATTACATTTGCTTGTCATGTCTCCTGGGCTCTTCTTGGCTTGAACAGTTTCTCAGACTTCCTAGTTTCTGAGGACCTTGATAGTTCCAGGAATACTGGTCAGATATTTTATAGGATGTCCCATGGTTAGGATGTGTCTGATATTTTTCATGTTATTAAACCAGAATGACAGGTTCTAGAGGGAGAGATTGAAAAGATGCAGGTGCTCAGGGAGGATTTTAGCTGCTGTTGCTCCCTGGTGTGGCTGGAAGGTGCTGTCAAGTGCTTTATATCTTGTGGGGGACTGAGCTCATCAACATCAAACACCAAGATGAAAGCAGGAGTTTCTACTCTCCACCTGCGTCAGACAAGCATGATTTCCAGCTACTCATGAATGATTGGTTTATCTTTGCAAGTACAGTAGTCCTTATTAAGATTAAATACTCCCTCATCCCTCATGGTGAAAAGAATGTGTGCATTGCTTATATTTGCTTATTGTGTATGTTGGTTAGCTTTCCATCACTATGACAAAACACCTGAGACAATCAGCTTATAATGAGAAAGGTTGATTTTGGATTAGTTTTGGAGGTGCCAGTCCAGGATCCATTGGCTCCATTGCTTTGGACCTATGGTAAGACAGTACATTATGGTGGCAGTGTGTGGCAGAGCAGAACCACTCACCTCATGGCCAGGAAGCAAAAGAATGAGGACGGGCCAGAGTCCCACAAGCCCCCTGGCAGGCAAGCCCCCAATGATCCAAAGACTTCATGCTTGCATTCCTTCCCAAAGACCCTACCACCTCCCATGAATGCAAAACTGGGGACCAATCCTTCATCACATGGCCTTTGGGGACATTCAAATCCAGACTCTAGCATTGTGGGACCTGCTTTGTACAAATAGATCTGTCTCCGTGATGTTACCTCATGACTTCTAGGCCATGCTATAGCTGGATGGTGACTTAGCCACAGAACAAAACTCAGTTGAATTTTTTCCATTTCAGTAACCACACTTGGGCCCCAGGGTTTAAAGCATTACTACACTGGGGCTCAATGGCTCCTAGGATGAATCTTTTTATTGTGTGGATCTGAAGAATGGAATTTTTACATGTATTCCCCTGTTCCCAGCTCCCTCTCCTGACCAAGCAGATCACTGGCCTCTCCTCTCCTCTGGGTGTTCTCTGGTCTCTTCTTTTGTTCCACGGGCAGACAGATTTTTAAAAAATCTTTTGATGATGCTTCATTTCCTCAGGCTTTGGGCTTGTACTTTTCATTCTGAGATACCTTGGGTGCTTCCAGAAAGCTCAGGGAGTTGGTGAAATGCTCAAAGCAGAATTGGCTTCACTCACTTGGGTTGTGTGGTAGTTCCTAACATGGATCTTGAACAAATGATGCACA